GGAGGAGGAGGTGGAGGAGGAGGAGGAGGAGGAGGAAACGGTGGTGGCGGAAGAGAAGAAGGAGGAGAAGGTGAAGGACTCTAATTTGAGTTCGCAAATCGCTCGTACCTGACAATGGTACGTTTTCCGTGTGACCATCGTTTTCCGGGAGTGATTCACTTTGCGCTTTTTTCCGCTTGGCTGTTCGTCGATCTTTGGCATGAATTTTTTTGCTTAAGAAATAACTTAGAGTATAACGAAAAAGAGACAGTTAAAAAAGCAAAGAGAGACAAGAGGACGCGTTGGGATTGTTTTCTTTAGCTTTTTCGCTTGTAATTTCCCTAAGTATATTCTAAAACTCGTCGCGTGTTCTACCCTAACGTTCTTTTAATCTCAGCCGGCAGCCGCAATAACGAGATTGTTTTGTTTAACGTTTCTGATTTTCAGAGTTTTCGAAAATAAGTAATAACAATATCATAGACAGCTGAATGTGCATATAAATGTGGATCCATCGTGCGTTTGTAAACCGTCCGTGAGCGACGGTCTTGTCTCCCAGTTGAGTTTTTGTTTTTTTATTATTTTATTCGTATGTTTATTTCTTTGTTTACTCATTCATCCTCTTGTCTGATAACGGAACATGTCTGACAAGCGTTTCATCTATCCGTTATCTGATGAGACGTCGAAAAAGAGCGTGAATATTATTGATATACTCTTCTCCTTCGATTTCTTTCCCTCTTTTCATTGTCATGCGCAAATATTTTAAGAATTCGGCGAGATTACTGGAGCTTTTAACGTTTTAAAATTTTTAATGGCGAGTTTAGAAAAACTTTTTCAAACGAAAATAGCTGTAATTAAGTGAGATTCAATATAAGGATAATTTGGGATTTTGTTTAAGAAAGGAACGTTGTCCCGTTTTTAATGTTAGAAATATCGTTTCAAAAAGATTGTTTAACGAAACATGAAAATGACTCTACATATACGGTAGTTTCAATCAACAACAGTCAGTAAAAATTATGCGCGTATTATTGTACGAATTATACAGAAAGTGTAGAATATATGAGCGCGACAGCGTCTACAAAGATGGTACCTCGGTGTGATGAAAAGTGCGGAGAAATATTTAGATTTGTCAAATAATTGGAAAATATGTAAGGAGGGAAAAGAGTGCGCGAGCGCGAATCGAAGAAGTCTTAGAATCCAAAGAATTTTCGACTGTCGATTCTTATGTGTTCGATTGATTGCGCGGAAGATTCAAAATTACGAGGAAGTTCGATCGCTTTTTCTCGAGAATAGATCGGTACCAATGACAGCTGCGAGCAATTTGCAACTATACCGTGAAGGAGTATTGGGATTTTCGCAATCGTTACCGCGAGGATCCTTATTTCTGATAACTAGATGCTGACAAGAGGGACGGACACATGATAGTGTTACAGCGGCTACAGTGTTTGTGAATACTCGATGGTTTGTTTGTATTTTTAACAGTATAAACAATAAGCACATCTTATTTTAGACCGTATATATGAGAACACAATCATTAAGGAATAAGAATTAAAAGCTCATAACGGTTGAATCTGGATCTTTGATGTTTAAATAATTCAATGTGAAATATATATATATACATACTATATACCATATTTGAAATCATTTTGATCCAAAATTTCGACGCACAGACAAAATGATTGCTGAAATATAGTATATGTATATAGAAGAAAGTTGTGGATAATGACATAGGTCTCCTAAAGCAACATTCCCTTATTTCTCAGACACTAATTATTGCACTTCATTAATACTAATAATAATATGATCTATTTAGCTAATTAAAGAAGTACAAATTTATAATACATATATTTGTGACTTCTTTCTATACTAAATCAGCTAAAAACAAATTCTATGAATGCGAAAATAAAATTCTTATGTTTTTTTTTACAAATTGCGTAATTTAAATAATAGCGATTATATTATTGATAATATTACTGATAATATTATTCATAATAGTCGTTTAAATGCTTATAGTTTCCTAAGTCAATTTCATTTATATTATCTTCTTTATAATACAATTTTAAATATAAAATCGAGGTGCAACGTAAACTGACACCTATCTACCATAAAACAAACCATGAATTACCTTAATCTATAAAGTTACTTTATAATTCACATTTTTTTAAATTATTTAAATATCAAAGATCTAGCTTCTACTGTTATGAGCTTTTAATTCCTATTTCTTATTGATTTTTAGCAGTGTATTAAAGATATATAACAATGAGAGGACTCTAATTTTTATTATAAAGAGAGAGAGAGACACACAGGAGAGAAAGAGAGGGGGGGAGTGAGAGAGACAAATATTGACTTAAATTATTATCATTAAGAGAAGATGTTCTCCAGTCTTTTCAGATAATATATATAAGGATTTAATTAAATACTAAGAATAAGTTTGTAATTAATGTGTAGAAATTTCTGAATTTTTTCAGATTTATATTTCTCGTGTAGCTTTCTATACATAATTTTCTAAAATATCTTTTTAAATTCTTATGAGAAGAAGAGTTTCAAGTAATTTAATTGTAAACAAAGTATAAGAATTTTGAATAGTTATATGGACATAAAAGAAGAGTTTAAAGAATATTTTGAAATTAACCAATAAAGTTTCACCATATCATTTTCGCATAATAGTATGAAATGTTCATCAATTTTCTTTAAATATATGACGTCACACCAATAAAATTGTAACAATGTCGTTTCCATTTTATATATTATTTATTAAATTTTATGTATTACTTATTTTTTAAAAGATGGCAGTAGCATTTTGCATCCTTTGTGTTAATATAAAAAAGAATCACATGACTTTTTTTTTTAAGCGGAAGAACTTCCTTAAGTATCCATCATTAAATATCGAATACTTTAATATATCTGATATTATAAGTGACTGGTAATAAATTTTATTTAACATACACACATAAATAAAAAAAAACTATAAATTAAGTATAAGTGAATAAGAAATAAAATATTATTAATAAAATAAGAAGTTTGTAAAAAAATGATTAAACAAAACAAATGAAGGAAAAAGGATAAAAGAGGGCTAAAAGAATTTCTCTTTACAAAGGAGTCCTGTATTATAAAGTATACGTAAGTTTCAAACTGCTACTCGCACTGATAAAGTGAACTTCTAGTGAATAACGTTCACGAAACCTTGGCATTCTAAGAATGGATATGAATATACTGATAAATCGCAAAACATATTGCTTTTACGTAGAAATAAGTTATTTTTCTATCAACTTTAGCTAACTAAAAACTTTAAAGAGTTATTAAGAGAGCTTATAATCATCGAGAGAAACGATAGATCTCATATTGTGTTTATTATAATATGTAGTATTTTGTACATACATAAATAACGGGATAAATAATATATATTTATCTTTTCTGTTGATAAACATATTTCTGTTGGTAAACATATTTCTGTTGATAAATATATTTCAATGTATTACATTAAATATCTTAATTGAATTAGTAGTTTAGGATGTCATTTATGTCATTTGCTCTTGTGTCAATTTTTCCATCGATATTTTTATTTACATATTCGGTTTTTATCGATATCCCCTATTTACTACACTCGGTTTTTATATCAACAGTCGACAGTTGCATGTGTGCTTGAAAGCGAATTTCAAACTGTGAGGTGCAAAAGCTTAATAAACGACATGAATATGCATAATCCTATGAAAAGAATAAATATTGTATGATTTCAGGATGAATTCCATCCATTTATCGAAGCTCTTCTACCATTCGTGAAGTCTTTCTCGTATACATGGTTCAACTTACAAGCTGCCAAAAGGCGATACTATAAGAAACACGAAAAGCGAATGAGTTTAGAAGAAGAACGTCAGTGTAAGGAGGAACTCCAGGTAAGAGATTATTTTAAATTAGTTATAATATAGGCATTCTTTGATTTTTTATACTGATATGTGTGTGTGTCGAAATTAAACTATAAATAAATCGATTCTCACTTAACATTTAATTCGTGGCAAAGATTGTGATGTATGCGTGTGTGCACTCATTATTATACGATTATAAACCTTAAAGATGTAGGTACAATATCCGTTAGAAGTGCCAAAAAATTAACTCAAAAAGTTAATTTCAGTATAATATCAGTGAAAAAAACTTCAGTTATAAATACATCTTGACATCAATTATTACAAAAAATAAAACAAATAATTTAGCTTATAACAGCTTATGCAGCGCAATAACTATATATTTTGCTGCAATTTTAAGTAAATAACTTTAAAACGTAAGGTGATTTAAATGAACTTTTACATAAATATTTATTAGAGTTTTATTAGTACATAGAAAAAATTTGATTCGCAATACTATTTTCTCAACAAATTTGCCAGTAAATATTACAAAACGCAATTTTAAGAATTAAAGAAAACAAAAAAATTAAATATCTTTAAATCTATAAGAGAATTAGGTTCGAATTTTACATAGATACTTAGATGAAATATTTATATTTTTGATAATGCTTTTAGATGATATCCTTAATAAATAATGAATCTTTCGATTAATTTTTTTCTCTAGTAATACATTGTTCCTGTTCGATGATACCACGATTGGACGTGATATTGTTTCTATATCGTCCCGTTGCTTCTTTTCACCCATCTTCGTTCACGACAGAGTTCGATCAATATTTTAATTTCGCGATGTTACGGTATTTAGAGCGGTCGGCATTAACTATAGTGGCGCATAGTGCTTTTTCTTTCTCTATTTTCAGCGTATTCGTTCCATTTCCGAATACATGTGAAAAATGAGTCTTATGCAAATTCACGTTGCTAATTGTATACGTAAAAATCTACATTCACGAGAAATTTATAAGATGGAATATTTTTTGGAGTGGCTCACGATAAAGATAAAATTTTATCTATAAATTACATTTAAATTTGTCTACGCACACAATTATAATAAATAAAACATATGCTGAAATATCTTATGTATAGAAATACTGGCACGATGTGGTGTTTATAAGATGACGTTACTACATTTAATGAAATCAAAATATATAGTTTTGTTTTTTTCTTTTTAAAACTACACTTTCAAAGATGATAAATACTAATAGCATATTGTAAATACTATTTCAAAATAGTTTACTTACAACTGGTAAAAGAGCAGGTTGATTTCGATAGAAGAACCTTCGTTTACTTCTGTATTTAATATATATAATTCAGCTGAAACGAGGGAGGAAAATACCTTTTGAATTTGGTTAAATCAAGCGACATAGGATTACAAATTATGACATAGTTTCTCTAAAGTTGTCTAATTGTCGAAAAGTAAGTGATCGAAAAATAAGATAATTTTGCGTAGCTATTGGTTTAATTCGATCGTTTTGATAAAAGCTAAATACATATCTTCGTATACATGTCGTTTGGTTCCATTGCGACTTTTCAAAAGTGTACCATGTACATTTTGTAAACGTAATAATGCGGCATAGTAATATAAGAGAAGGAATGGAGAAAGGAATCCGGGAATAAAAGGGACATGGATGGATAATACCGAGAGATATGAGTCGGACTATGCGCGACGCGTTTGTCGTTTTCTCTTAATTTCGAGACAGACCGCAGTACGATATCGACTACTTCACTTCGGGGTGTAGGGCGCTGTGAGGGACTGGAACGAGCGAATAGCATGAGTAAGAGAGATAGGAAATTGGAGTAAAAGAAAGAGAACGTGAGCAATGGACGGATAGACAAGGATAAACTAGAGTGGAAAGAGAGTACGGTGTGGTGCGGTGCGCCGCTTCCCGGAGCGTCGCTTGCAAGAGGAAAGAAGAGCGCACGTATGCGAGGAGAGTATATATATATATATATATATATATATATATATATATGGTGTGTGTGTGTATGTGGCTCAGCGGAGGATTGAAAGGGTTGTGGTGAATCGAGAGAGTTCATGCGAGAAGAGCGAAGCGATCGGAAGTATCTAGAGTGAGAGTGAGAGTAAGTGAGTGAGCGAGCTTATACACGCGCCTGTGTGTGTGTGTGTGTGAAGAGGGTAAAGGAGAGAGGCATCAACATCCATGAGAAGTCCGCTACGTGAATGTTGCACACCGAGTTTTCGGCAATGGGAATGAGTTGGGAGAGGGAGGGATGGCCTGTCGGTTTGGGGTGGTCGAAAATGGTGTTGGAGGACGTAGACATGTAGCGCATACGCCGTCGCGACGGAGGCTGCGGCTACGTGGCGCCTACCAACCACCATCTATAATCTCTATGCAGATATCGATTTTCTACCCTGTATTTCCTAAATTTATGCAAACCAGCAGCGCGCTACGTTTTCTACCGTACTACTTGACACATTGTCCCTTTTCCAGCTTGTTAAAATTATAATTAACGTAACTATGGATTTGTTTTGATAAAAATTTTATGTCTCATAATTGCAATTATTTTAAAGGGAATAACGACCAATCGTCTGCATTGCGCTATTGCGAAATTAATCGCTTGAATGAAACAGACTGTTTTTTTATCAGTACTTTTGATATTATATGATAATGTTAAAATGAATCGTCTAATTATCTATATTATTGAATAATCTGTATAACTCAATATTTTAAGACATTTTGTTTTAAGATATTTGGTCGATGATTAGCAGGTTTCAATTAAATAAATAAAAAGTAGGTAATATATATACAAACAATGATAACAAAGAACACACATTACACGCTAGATTTACGTAGCGAAAAGTTATTAAAAATATTCAGTATGATATAAAATTTCACACAAATAAATATTTTTTTATCAAAATTTAGCCTTCTTTATTATGTCATTAATAAATTATTAAAACTGCATAAAAATTAATTAATATAACAACATATTTATGAAATCGGAATGTCTATTGTATATAGGTATACCTATATATTTAAAGATGCAAAAGTACGTTAATGAGTTTTAAAACATTATAAATGGATCTCTTTTAATATTGTTTTTTTTTTTTAAATTATATTTACAATATACGATTTTTAGATTTATAACTTATTTATAATTTATTTTTTTTATTATATTTGTAACTTATTAATAACATAATGATGACGGCCAAATTTTGATTAAAACGTTTATATATATGCATAGAATTTTATATTATTTTAACTAAAGATTTTAAATATACGACTTTTTGCTAAACGAAAATCCAGTAGTGTTTTTGTTTTTATTATCATTGTTTACAATGTTTTAGTTTCAATAAAATAGTTTCGTACTGTAGTATTACAAAAGAATTCTTGTATTTCTTTATTGGATTTGTTTTAACTTTATATAATATATTTAAACGTAAAAAACGAGATGATCCTCTCTTGTGCAAGATTTATGATTTATAGATCTATTATATTATTATGTGGATTATACGAGACGTAGCGATTTCTTATTATTACGCGAACATTGCCGAAACAAATTGATGTAAGTGAATCTCGAGACTCTATTCAATATCTGCGCATCATTTTGCAATTGTTAAACAAAAATTCAAAAATTGCGATTGCGTACTGAATTAAGAAACACAAGACGAAAAAATAAAATGTTGCTCCTCAAACTTTCCTCAAGAGAAAATTAACAGACATGTCGACGATTTCAACTTTGATGTTTTCGGTGGTTTGTATTGGGTTGGTAAAAAATAGCAGATGTCTAGTTAAATATTGTAGATATTACTGCCGTTCGAATCAGACTGATTCAAGATATAGTAATATCTATAGTATGTAGAGACGTGCTAGGTAGATTATACGTATAAAGCAGGTTGTCCAATTTGAGTTCTTGAGCTATCAACGCAAAAAAATTAATATGGGGTAAGATTTCGGAAACTTGTGTTTTGCGGCGCTTATCAACACTTTACAGTCCATGAAATCTTACTCACATTGAATTTTTGTGTGTCAATGGCTTTGCGTTTTGGCTTCGGAGTTTAAATTGGACAGGTCTGATGTAAAGAAATCGCCAAATCGCTTTGTTCGCATGTAGTAACGTAAAAGGCCAGATATATATGGCTGGAAAATTTGTCAAATTAATTAGTATTCCCCTCAAGCCCTCTCCATCACTTGGAATTTTATTCGTTCTTTTCCATATATTCAACTTATTCTTACCATCAAACGACAACACAATTTGAGATGAACTGGTTGCGTTATTCTAAAATGCAATGCCTTATTTCGCGTTGATATATTAAAAAAAGATCTGGTTGCATTAATTGGAAATCTGCTAAGTTCAACCAGTCTGTTTATTCAAATCAAAGTGCTAGGAATGTCAAATGTAGGAATCAAAATGTAGGAATTATAATGCAGAAGAGCATAATTAATTCTTTTCTATTAAATATATCAAAATTCTTGTTAATTGATTCTTGATGATCGAGTTTTAATCGTTGTGACAATTAGCTAACGTTTAAATACCGAATTTAGGAGACCATTTTTTAATCATAATTTTATCATCTATTCTTTGGAATATGATATAAAATATGATATTAACAAGTAATATTTGTTTTAATAATAAAATTGGAGTTGTTAATTTTGCATTCAATCATGTATGTCTTGTTAGTGTACTCGCTTCGCTCGCGCGCTTGCGCCCGTCCCGCGCTATAAACAATTATCCCTCACTGTTACCCAATGTACTATTTTAATTTTCAAGAAAACGTTTATACTTTACGATAATTATCATAACATTTGGGGTATGTTAAGTTAGCACCCCAACTATAGTACTCAGGAGTTCTGATTAGAGTTCCCACTTCCTTTTGACGAGACGAAGAGTTCCTTATAGTTAATAACAAGAGTTCCGCTCAATAAACATTTTTTTTACATTTTTTAAAAATGGGGTACTAACTTTTTATCGAATTTCGAGATGGAATAGTTCTGAGCGGCTTAATAGCTTCAATTTGCGATTGCCTAGAGTTCCTG